CAGTGAGCACTTCATGAGACCTGGAACCAAAGATGTTCTCCTCATTTCCAGCCAAGGCTGCGCCTCACCTGAAATCTGAGGGAAAATTCTCTGCTGCAAGACAAACATTAGCTCAGAAAGGCCAAAAGAAACTAAAATTAGCCACTGTGTGCGTGCGTGTGTGTGTGTGTGTGTTCAAAAGCATTAATCTGGACACAGGCTTCTCCCTGGGACTGCCTGTTTGTATCCAAGAGCCAAGCCAGCCATATTGACCGGGCAAGCCAGCTTGAAGCCCTTTCTGAAAGGACAAGGTGCCCTGGGCCTCATCCACCTTGTTAGAAACTAAACCCAAACCAGTTAACCCACTACTTGGCTTAAGGTGTGCTGTACTCCCTCCCAGTTGTGGTCTGTTCAGTAAACCGTGTTTGAAAAAAACATGATTGGGTGCAATGTGTGGGATCCAATCCCTCTCTGAAGAGGACCAAGGAAAAGCGGCTTGAAATCACAGGGAAAGCCACAGGCTTTCAGCTCGTTGCTAGGAAAGCGTTGGAGAAAATACTGTATTGGAAGGTCCTTGTAGGTTTTCACAGGCAAAGCCCTTTCCTCAAAGCTGACACCTTGCTTGGGTTGCTCTTTCCGCAGGTGATCCCGAAGCACAAGTATGTCCTGGTGAAATTCGACACCCAGTATCCTTATGGGGAGAAGCAGGATGAGTTCAAAAAGGTGGCTGAGAGCTCAGAGTCCAGCAGTGATTTGCTGGTTGCTGAGGTGGGAATCTCAGGTGAGATGTTGCCCTAGTTGGTCTCTGCCTGGGCGGACATGAGGTCCAGAAATTTGATTTGGGATGATCATGATGATGGTGATCTGTTACTCAGAATGGTAAATCTGTGTTTGAGCCGTTGGGCATTCATACGTAAATCCCCAGGGTTTATCTTGTTGCTGTGCAACTTTAAGAAATAAAATTCATGCTGTATTTTGGTATTGTCCAGATGTGCTAGATCGCAATGTCCTCAGCCTGGTGCTTTCCAGACGTAGGCACTACATCTGCACTAACCACTGAGCCTTCAGCACTTACAAAGGCTGGAGTGCAGGCTGCAAACATCCTCAGAGATCTAACCCTGTTGTTTCTGCTGGCCCACCTGCAACCTGGGTCACTTGTGATCTCAGTGAAAACCCACAGTTTCAACTGTTCAACTTTCAACATTCATTTCTAAAACAGGCCCCTCTCTGGAACCATTTTAGAAGTGGAAATTCCCCTCCCGTCCCTGTTTTAAACCAACACCTGCTGTTTTCTTCCACCCCAGGATGACCAAAATAATAGAATCAAGAGGGTGAATGCATAGAGACTTTGAATTCTCTTGCATTTCTGGTGCTCCCTTGTGCTTTAGTCAGGATCAGCTTTGCAAGGAAAAAGCTGCTAGACCTCAAGGCTTCAAAATCTTGGGGTTCTACGGGCTGCATGTTTTCATCCCTCAAAATGATGGAATGTCCCTTTATATTGAGAAATATATCCAAATTAGTAGTTTAATCAATCTACCCAAACCCAGTTAAGATTTCTGTTTAGAAGCTTATTCTAGTTGGCTTGGCCTCGTGAAAGCCACTTATGCACATCTTAGGTGATCAGGTGAGTGGTGACCAGCAAGCCCACTAGCTAGTTATTCTCCCAATCCAAGTCTCCAACCATTTTTATTGCTTTTCTTTACAGATTATGGTGACAAGCAGAACATGGAGTTGGGAGAAAAATACAAACTGGATAAAGACTCTTATCCAGTCTTTTACTTGTTCCAAGATGGCGACCTGGAGAGCCCCCTGCCTTATAATGGGGAGGTCAAGGCCGGCGCTCTCCAACGCTGGCTAAAACTTCGAGGGATCTATATGGGGATGCCAGGTTGCCTGAAAATATTTGACACCTTGGCCAGCAAATTTGTAAATGCCGCCCAAGAACCTGAGCGTCGGGCTCTCCTGGAAGAGGGGCAAGAGCATTTGGCCAAGGCCAAAGAAAGCGAACGGAAATCTGCCGAGCAATACATCAAAATCATGGGCAAAATACTCGCCCAGGGGGACCAGTTCACGACCAACGAGATCTCCCGGATCACCAAGCTCATTGAAGAGAACAAGATGAGCGACGGGAAGAAAGAGGAACTCTCAAAGCGCTTAAATATCCTGTCTTCCTTCCAAAAGAAGTCGAACAATGAGAAAGAAGAGCTTTGACAGGGCAAGTGAAGATGGCATAAAATGTGGGTGAGGTCCCAAGCCGGTGCTCCTTTAAGCAGGCAAAAACATCCCCTTGCAGTTTCAAAGAGGTTACAGAAGCCCTTTTAATTCCTTAACGATAGCCCCCCCCCCCCCC